CCGGTACCAGTCCGAGGCCTGGGGTTGGGGACCACTGCTCTACGCAGCGGTAGCATCTCTTCCATAACGTAGCCTGCAATCATTTTTTTAAGTTCACCTTCAGACGCTTTCTGTGCTGCTGAAGTAAAATCTAGTTTTGCCTGCTTAGCAGGAGTTGCCGCGGTGTTATCCATGGATGATGAACAAGGATCAAGTGTTCGTCTATGCTCTTGTGTCAGGCGCTTCAGTAGATTACTCGTGCTATTAACAACGGCCGACAGTTTTTTCTCCTCAGGACATAGCTTACATATTACTGTAATATTCTTGTCTGCTTGTTTCAGAAAAGTGAAGAGTATGTCCATTTCATAAAACAGCCACTCGCTTCAGCAGAGTCCGACATCTTAGAAGATAAATTATTGAAATTAAATAATGATATTCAGCAAGTTTAATTATTTTACAATGTAACCTAAGTACATTGTAAGTAACTGTAATTAAAATACCTAAAAATGAACAGTAATCAGTTACTCTACTTTTTCAGTGGAAAAGTAATTTAATTACAGTAATGCGTTACTTAGTAACGCGTTACACCCAACACTGTCTCAGGTGTTCTCTTAACTGAACTTTGGTCCATTCTTTTCCCTGCCATATGATTGCATTTGTCTCTGTCCATTGGGGACTCTCAAATTAACTTTTTTTTGACAGGAAGAAAGCTAACATTCACCCATAATGGATTGCATTTATATGGCGCTTTTCAAGGAACCCAAAGCGCTTTCCTTAGCTCTGCTATCAGGTAGCACACCATTATATGCTAGCTACCCCAACTAATGTAACCATAGTAACATTACTGCTGTTTAGTTTTCTGCCTTCATTTACGTCTGAAATGATAGAGCTGCATGTTTTAATTTTTAGTGTTTTAACAATCCCTCAGTCAGAGTGTATAGATTACAACGAGCAAGCTAACTTTCCATTCCAAGCTAACTCGTTAAATTTCATAAATCCTCTTTTTTATTACTTTATTGTAACATGTGGGAGATCAGACACACTGAACATTTTATTGAAGTTGAAAGAAGAAGTTGAACCTTTTGGTCTTATGTGTATTGTGGTAGTATTGCTGGTAGTCAGTGTTGGGGAGTAAGGGAATACATGTATCGCCGTTACGTATTTAAAATACAAAATATGAGTAAATGTATTCCGTTACAGTTACAGTTTAAAAAGGTGGTATTTAGAATACAGTTACTTTGTTGAAATAAATGGATTACACGGCGGTATTTTCTTGTTTCATATTGTGGTGGGTCAGGACTGTTTGGGTTTTGTTCTGTTGTTCCAGGCGGCAGCGTTACGGTTGCCATGATTACAGGGTGACGCGCGCCCTCTCTGCAACTGTGTGTTTCCTGGGTGAGAGAGCGTCTTTTTGTTGTGCTAAGCTAATAGGCAGAATGTCATGGGACCAGGTCATTGTGCTGTTTAGTTACTACTTGGCCTCATTTATTTGTCAATAATATTGAGCAAAAAACACAATATCAGCAGCGAGGACAGGTATACCCACTTGTCGTCCTTCAACCTCTGCCTGACTAGGTAGTGTCCCGAAAATAATAAAGGATTTATTGATAATTTGAAAATTTTCTGTGGAGAATATTGTCTTGTTGCATCTCTCATTTCTACAACTTTGGCCAAATTTATCAAACTCCCAAACCATGACTATCCAGAGCTGAGACCAGGAAGCAGAAATGCAATCTTATAGGGAAATTATGTACCCCGCCTACCTAAAGTGATCGTCTGTTATCAGATGTTGACAGTATCAAAAATGTGTGGTACAACCAGTTAACATTTTACATGCTGGTGTTTGTCCATCAGCTAGTCTTGGAGAAGAGTGAAGTTGTAACACACTAAGTGTGAAACCAAGCATTATAAACAATGAAAAATGTCTGCATCAGCCACTGTCTGTGCTTTTCATGGTCTATTTTTAATATAGAAAACATTTATATGTTTCTACATTCCTTTAGTTTGGCATATCTAGTCAGTAATATACTACCTAGTAATATGGTATTATAGGAAATTTATATTTATGTTTTTTATTTTAGAAAAAAAAATATCTGAGGCATAAAACCAGATATGGGCTGTACACATTGTTCCCCACATGTACCTTTATTTCAGCATTTCAAGGTGATGTGGAGGGTGGAGGAGAGTAAATGAATGACAGGTTTAGAGCTGTAACATCAGAACATTGTGGACAC